GGCAGCCCGGACGTGTCCCTCAAACCCTTCTGCCTCCAAAGGGAAGGGAAGGCGCTGGAGAGTCAGTGATGAAGACCTTGCCTCATCGCCCCCCTCAGCCTCCAAAAACCAGGCCCGTTATGCAACTCCGAGCAAAGGAAAAGCCAGGGAAGAAGTGGGGATAGAGAAATCTCTAAAAACAAACAGCAGGATTGGAAACCTTTAGAAATAACACACCTTTGGGAATGTGCATGCAAAGATGAATCCCCTCCAGGGAAGCCCCCACCAGGCAAAATGTCTCATACAGTTTTGAGTCAGTTTACTTAAAAACATGCCTCTGCAGTTGATTTTTGCTGATTTCTCATGCAAAAGGCTCCTTTCTTCCTTTTGCCTAAACTCCCCAAACATCAGGAAGTAAATGACTCACCAAGCAACCCTCTGAAAGCTCTTCTGAGCAGGCCTCTCGCTTTGGCAAGGAATCCCAGGCACCAAGCATGGACACTCGCTCCAGTAAAGGGCACTGCTGCCTCCCAAATTCCAGGTCAGCTGGGATACAATCCAGCACGGTTCCTACCCTACCATTTCATCTGCACAGTATCATTCAGTTTCCCTGCTAAACCATTCTACTTCATTTCACTTGTGTTTTTAGAGCTGCTATGAGCACAGTTATTTGGGAAATAAAGTATCTGAGGGTGCTTTTAAGAGATTCAAAAGATTTCTTTAACGTACATTTGTAAAGCACTTTGAGATTCCCAAATGACAGCAGAATATTATGCCTCCAAATGCTAGTTGGACATGTTAATTATAACCACACTAGAGTAAAGATCCTATTGGGATGTATAGCACCAGATGTTTTATCTATGGACATTTTTTCCTTTCCAGCTCAGTAAAATTTCACAAATTCTTTTTGGTTTGTTTAGTTCAGCTGCACTTTTAGGCAAAAGCAAGCTTAAACATGCTCCAAATAGCTAAAATTCCTACCCAGCACACTTTCCAGAACATCATTTCATTTGCTGTTCAGCCCTTTAAATTAGCCTGGCTTTGACCTCCGCTTGCTTCGCTGCCTCTGCTGCGTTCCTGGTCTCCAGGGTCCAGCTCCTGGCTTGTTTCTCAGGCCAGGCTTTACGAGGGGAGGTGCTAGGGCAATGTCAGGGAGAAGAACCGCATTCCTACATCCTGCCAGGCAACAATGGATGCCATTCCCAAGCAGACACGTGTTTCTTGGCTGAGAGCAAGCAATAGAAATCTGAACTGCTGGGGCTCTTCTGAGTAGAGGATGCGAGCAGGCAGCCAGCTAGCAGAACCTCTTCTTAGGGAAAGTTTCACACTTGTGGTGTTGGTATTTGGGTTCAACGGTACAGATTTGTTTTCTGACTCTTATTTCCCCATAATATAAAATTAAACAAAATATTAAGCCTGTACCAGCAATTCAATCCCATGAAAATTGACGAGAAAAATAATGCAATCCTACTGAATGCACAGGAGACAACAAACTGTAAGCAAAGATTAGCATAATGTATATGTTAACATGATCTGAAATAAAAATTCCAGAAGAAAGCAAAACACCATCAGTTCCTAATTAAAGTACTTAACCCCATGGAAGCCCAGCATTTTTTGAATGATTTTTGTGTGCAGCTGCTGTTTTTCTGTTTTGTTTTTTCTTTCTTTTTTTTTTTTGAATGAATGAATTACATTCTATGATAGGGCTTCTTTTTCAAACTCCTCTCTGATGCTACTTTCATCTCATCAAAAGAAAACACAGTTCGATGAATTTTCAACAGGCTAACAGGTATGCACAGTAGCTAACACCGATAGCAAGTTTATATATTTTAGGCTTCTTTCATGTTCTAAATTGGTGGTAGTTTGGTTGTAAACCTCACTGTATTTCTGCCTTCAAGCTTCAGGTTATGCATGCCACAAAGGTGTAAACCATTTGCATAAGATCAAATAGGAAAAAACATCACAGTGGTAGAGGCTTGTCTGTAATTCAGCTGCAAGTATGGATTTTTGTTTCAATGTGGTAAAGTCAAATGAAAGCTTACAGCCTCGTCTGCATCTTCCCCTTGAGGAAATCACTGTAGCACTGGGGAAAGACAAACGAGTAGGGCCAAAAAATTCAGCCTGATTTAGAAGTGTTAACTTTAAATAATTTTCTTACCTTATTTCAGCAGAATGTTTGTTTCCTTCATGGTTTGTACATTTTTGACTGTAAGCATAAAATTACTAAATTATAAAGAGGTTTAAAAAGGCAGCAAGAAAACTTTATTAGATACCATCAAATACAAAGATACTGTTATAATTTCCCATAGAGGAAGCCCCTGAGATGCAGCTTGCAGGACGTATCAGAAGAACTGCCAACCACGTGTGTGTGCGTGAGCAACGTGTGGGTATACGCACAGGCACACACTTGCTTACCATGGTCCTGTATCCCCCTCTAAGCATCTCTTGCTGACCCTGGTGGGACCTTTTTATTTATTTAGAGCTATATTCCTGCTTACCAAGCACACCTTTTAGTATTTTACATTGACCTGTCTTCGCAAAGGCCAACTATGTTGAGAGACCACTTATATCTCATTTTATTCTCATATTACAGAATGTAGGCTAGGTGTCTAGAGTCTAGATGATAAACAGTTCTGCCCCCTTCAAGAGCAGAACCATTTTTCTGGGCTTACTGGTCAGTGTAGAAGAAGATCAAGAGTTCACCTTCACTTTGGTTCACCTTTGTCAAAAAAGCTACTCAGGTGAAATAAAAGACTAAAAGATTAGACTATTTAAGGTGAAAGAAAACCAATATTAGATATATTTTTTTAAAAATCCTATTCCTGTAACACATAGACATTCATAAAATACCAAGTGAATGCAAAAACATAATGCTTTCCATTTCCAGTGAAAAAATTATTCAAAAACCCTGCAACACTGGGTTGAAACAATGAATATAAGCCACTCTCCAACAAGTTGGAGATCATCTATTTTTTATTCACTGCTCAATTAAAAAGGAAAAAAAATGAGCTACAGGGAATTTGTGATTAAGCAAACCTTCTGAGTTCTATAACAAACTAGCAGGGGAACTGAATTGGTAATAATAGTAGTAATTACCTTCAGTAAATCATAATTCATATCCAAAAAATACCAATCTGTGCACTGATGTAAGAACATTGTTAACAAAAACCCAACTCTGATAAATCAAAACAACTAAAATGCAGATGTGCAAATGAGTGGAATTAAGACTGCTTGGTGATCTCAACATCTCAAACAAGGTATTTCCTTGACTGTGTATAAATACTGATTGTGCAGCAATAAAAAAAAAAAATCAAATTTGTTGTTTGGATATCCAAAGTTGTAAAATTAATCAGCTGACCTATGCATTTCTCTGGACACTTATTTCCTTCTAAAGAGATGCAAACATGTTGGGACCCATTCTGTGTGATACTCAGTTTTCTCTTAAACAAGTCCTGGTTCCAGATGTTATCACACATGACAAATGGCTTTTTTTCCAACTTACTTTTGAAGAAGAGAAGGGCTATAGTGAGGAGAAGGGGTGAAGTTTCCATCCAAGTTGAGCCAGTCCAAAGTTCCACAGCTCAGACCTGCTAGGGGCTCCGTAACCTACAAGACGCACAAAATGAGAGCAGGAAGAACAAAATATCACAGCAAACCAGGAGCTTCCAACTTACCCTGCGTGTGCAGGGGGGTTAGACTAGATGACCTCTAGAGGTCCCTTCCAAGCTTAAGGCTTCTATGATTCTATGATTCTCATCAGTATCACTGTTGCTGCATATAATGCTGTATAACATGCATGGGAGTTTACAGGGCCATTATAGTTCTGCTTAGTCTTTGCTAATTTGCAAAAAGTGTTAAAGATTTGTTACTAATACATCTTTTCCTGTAGCATGCTTCATTAATCAACAAATAAAGAACAAAAGCAACTCAAAGTTAAGCTCTATCTCAGCTACAGAAGTGAGTACAAAAGGACAACTGAATAAAAAGTGTAAAATGTTACTATGTGATAATTTGCTTTAAAAGGAAGGTTTTTGCCAATATCAGTTGGCAACATGACTATATCCTTAAGTAGAAAATCTACATTTTTTTTAAGTTAGGCTTTTAGTTAGGTATATATCAGTAACTTTAACAAATGATGTGATTTTACTTCAAAACCTTATTCAACTTGCTGACGAAATAATAACTTGCAGTAGTTAGCTCCTGTGATTAATATACCACAAAATATTTTATTTTTTAGGTAACAATTAAGTGCTTTCAGGGATAAGAGCACTCAGGCAGCTATTCCTGTAAATTTTCCATTTCTTCTAGTAAATCCCATTCTGGATAGCGAAACGGTAGTGCAAAGAGGATAATTCAGAAAACTATTGAAAGGGGAAAGATTCTAAAAAGGTCTTTTCATTGCAGCATTCTGCCTTTCTGCTTGAATCCCTTGTAGTCATGACTAGAAATAGGAAATGCTAAATTATTCAAGAGATCATCATCTTTTGCTAAGCACATCCAAAAGGAGTAGTAGTGTCCTCTCACTAAAGGTTTAGTGTCATTAGAGACCATTAGAGGGAGGAAATGAAGCAAGTGAGTACAATGATGTGAAGAAATATTATCCCCATCAGGCTTGCTGTTAAGAGGGAAAATAATCAGTAAAATCAATGTAGAAGAAAAAAAAAACACAGAGCTCTAGAACTTACTGATCTCCTTTGTCTTAAGATGGCAGCTTCTGCTGGGTGGTTGAATCTAAATTTATGAGCCTTGCCAAGGACAACAAGGGCCCCTGTAAATAGACAGCAACATTATTACACAGACATTAATTCATCAAACATTTAATGCAGCATGCACTAACTGTGCCTAACAGATATACCAGGAGTTTCTAAGCTGTGGTTTACAGACTACTACATATTCAAGCTACTATTAAAAAGCACGCTAAAATGTAATATTCTGACAGGCCCAAAGCAGAGAAATATTCTTTACAATTTGCCACTATGGAACAGTGCACTTATTTTGCACTAATAGCATCCAAGCAAACTACTTGTGGAAATCTCTGGTGTAACATCTGCACATTCAGCGTAGCAGTAATTTCCTCTTCAGATTAAAGACTGGCATCAAAACCATAATCAATTCATTGCCAGAAACTTGTGGATGCAGATGGATGAAAACGCTCCAGTTCCCAAAAAATCAAGCCTTACCTTGCGACAACCGGCACGATCCCGTGACTTCGCATCCATTCACAGTGCAGCGCGCGCCCTGAACCGGTCGCAAAGTCACAACCCCACAGTTGTTGTCTATCGTGCAGTGGTCCCTCTCAATCCACTGCCCCTGCAAAACTACAACGTACAGATGCTTTTTACTTCATCTGCCCCCGTTCCTTTCCTCAGAATGAAGCACCAAGCACTGCTGGACCACGTAACAGTGTAGTCTGTACCCCTTAGAACCAGCTCACACCCAGGACAAAGGGGGAAAACTCCCCTTTCTTCATCATTAGCTCCTGATCACTTAGCTCAGGAGCACTTCACAGAAACATGTATTTGTTTGAAAATGCTTAGGCTGCTCTTTCAATGTGTTTCTAGTTCTGGAAAAGCTATGACTCTCTTTATGATTTGCAAGCTGATGGGCAAAAGTCTTTTATTGTGCTGAAATTTCTTACTGCTATTATGGCATTATTTTAAAAGCTAGTAATCTACTAACACCTTGGAAGAAGACAATTAAATTTCCACAGAATATACCAAAGTGGAAATGTTTTCAGCTTCAATATGAATTTTCCACTCTCTGTCATCATTGGTAGCTCTTGAGAACCTGACTGTTAAAGTTAAGGTCAGAAATGAAATGAAATAAAAGATAATCAGAGTCACTTGGGTTTTAAATCGAAAATACTATGACCAAGGACAGCTCAAAGGTATTTGTAATGTATCATGATCACCTGTGCCATTAGGCACAGCAAGATTAGGATCACTAGAACAAGATATTTTTAATCTCTAATGTAGCACTTTGCAAATGTGAGGAATATTCTAAACAGATCCCAATCACTTTCATGGACTTTTTGACCTCATAAACTGCAACAAAAATTAACTGCAAGGTTATTGCCAACTTTAACAAGTATTCTCTTCTGCCTCCTTTCTTCTATACAGAAAGCTGACAAACAGCAACATTATCTAGCTATTACACAAGGCAAACAAAATTCTCCCAGTTTGACCTTACTATGCTATCAAATAATTTGTAAATCTCTGTCTCTTACCAATGTCTTGATCCTGATCTGAATCACTTCTTCCAATTTTGGTTGTTCCTTCCTAAACCAAGAAAAAAGAAGAAGAAAAAGAAAAAAACCCTCTAATTTAAGTCAGTTACTGAAGGCAAATTACTCATAATGATTAAGAAAGCTCTGGCACAGCATCTTAGCAAATACTGAAATAAATGACCTCTGACAGGATTGCTTAAAGCAAATTGTAGCTACTACCATCCAAAACTTCAGCCTGTGCCCCACAGTGATGCTATTGCTCTTATCCTGCTGCCCCTTCAGCTTCACCTACTGCAACACTGGTACATGAAGTAACCCTCAGTGGATGATTTTTTGAATGTGCTTGAGACAAGTATTTTGAATGTGAAGTTGTTTTGATGCTTTGAACTTCCAGTGTGAGATTTTTGATGATTCTTTGTACAAATACCACATATAAAAAGAGGCACAAAATGACTGTTCAACTAACCAGCCAGTTTTTGATTTTGTAATACAACAAGAAGTACAATGAGTTACGCACTAGGTATTTCACACAAAGAAGAACGAAACAACCCCCAAAACACCTCTCTAGAAATCACCAAAGCAAAGAGATTATTATCATGACCTGTGAATGACACTTTTGTCTGGTGCACTGATTATAACTCTCTGGTAATACTATTTAATTCAGAAAAATTTATCACAGCAGTCTTTGCTCACGAAATTCACAGTAGTTGAATGCACCCCAATTAGAGGGGTGATCCCAGATGAGTTTAAGCACTAAAAAATGGTTGCATTTTTTTTAACATGCAAGCAAACTTATTCATATTAAAGAAGAAAACAGACCTAAATGAGACTCACTTCATGTCATTTTGAATGCTATTACTCATTTAATAATTTAAGTATTCTGTAGAGAGAGACTCTTTCCTAATTTGATATTGATTATTCTACATGAAAAAGTGAAAGACAATTCCGATCAAACGATTGCATAGCTTCATCTTAACTTATTGAGGTATAAGTGCATTTATCTGTTAAAGCCTTTTTTAAATGTTTTACCTTCTTTTACCAGTGTTTTTTGACAAAGAGAGGAATTCTCAAGGCATATTACAGAGCCTTAGAGAGGGATCACTTCCTCGCTTCACTGTTTCAATTTCCAAAAACCTTTGTGAAGAAAAAAGTATGCCTTTTTCTACACCAATACAAACAAATTGTATTTTTAGGTTAGGCAAGAGAAAAGTCTAGCTAAGTTATAGAGAAAATATTTACTTTTGTTAATGACAGCTAGAAAAAAAGAACAGAACCTCAGAAAGAAAGGTCCTTTAAGCACAGGCACAGCATTGATTAGTGCAATTAATACTACAGATAAGAAGTGAATAAGAGAGTAACACTGCTTATTCTACATGATCTGAAGACTGCTATCATGCCCACTCCCTAGAAGTATAAAGTGCTGTAATATGTTAAAGTCCTAATATGTAAGGAGCTGCTAATGTTTTACCTTCTTGCTGCTCAGACGAAGGTAATGAACAGCAGAGTCTAAAAGATGCAAAGCGCAAGGGAAAGAAAAGGCAGCATCTAGGAGCAAAGAAAGAGGGGACAAAGATGTTAGTGTGGAGAGAGACACTGGTTAATAGCGTCAAAAGGTGGCTCTTCAAGTTTCATTAAGAAATTAATATTGTTAAAGAACTTTGGTCATTATTATAGTCAATACACAAAAACATTTACTGTTCCTGAGCCGGTGCACAATGGAAAAAAGTTTAAGTAACAGCAAATACATTAAGTAAATATTTAATGTTATTTTAGGATTCAGTAGGTCAAGTAGGATGTTGTTAGGCACTGAATGTTACTAGTTAATACCCAATTATAACTTGGTACAATTTTTCCGTGCTGGTCTGAGAATAATCTGTACTGTTTCTCTTTTAGTTAAGTGAAGAAGAGTATCATTTTTATCTCAAATATTTGTTACTACTTTTTAATAGAGGAAGAAGAAAAAAAAAAGAAAAACCAACAAACCACTCACAGGTACACAAACACACTCAACTTGTCCTCATGTTTTGTGGGCAAAAATTATTTCCATGCACATTTAGGGTACTTGGGCATCAACCTTATTTACCTACATTATCAAATAGCCTTGCACATGCTTTTATTTTTATAAAAGGTCAGTTTGTTATTCCAGTCATTGTGTTTTGCTTTGTGTAAGTGTTAAAGGACAACCTCCTTCTCCTCCACTTTCGTGTATCCCTCTTTGCTGTGGTTTTCTGTTTATCCATAGATTTGTTCTTCTTGTGGATTGTGGCCTTTACTTTTTGATAGTCATTTTTATAATGCTACCTTAATCACTCTCCCACATTTCCAAAGGAAACGCACATTTGGTTATTAAAAGGAAGAATAAGACAAGTGATAATATCTCACCCTGAGATGATAAAACACCACTCCTGTACTGAGGATATCATCATCCATTGCCATTAGATGAGGTAAACTTGAATCTATGGTTACTCCAACTTTTTCTTTGTTGATGTCCACACTGTATTCTTCCATGATGGTTTTCCTGTCTGTCCACTTATTCGTCCAGTCTTTGGTCAGTTGCTCAATCTTAAGGTAAAGCAAGATTTTAAAAAATGTCTTCATTTTTGCAAAATTATTTCACCAGCTGAAATGAAGGTGTATTTTTAAATGCATTACACCTTTCTGTGGTAGAATAAAATAATCAGGTAAAAACTGTACCCCCACTTACCCACACAGGTTTAGCCCAATGAAGACTTTTTTCCAAAATATCAGCAAAATATATGATCACGCTAACTTTTTGATTTCCAAACGAGGTAATTTGTCCATCTGACAGACTTGAGCAAAATTTAAAAGCAAAATGTTCAACACCTCCCCAGGTCCATAGCGATCAAAACTTAAATTGGGGAGTGCACAATAGTTTCCTTTAAATGAATTGGAGAAGTTTAAACTTAGAAGACAAAGTATCTCTATAACCAGTTATTGTGATACAGTTCCACAATTTCAGACAAGGAGTAGATTGCGTGGACTTAATGGGACACTGTCCCTCGCACACCGCTAAGGACACACGAAACGCTCGTCACAGATTGGTAGAGAACACCCAGCAGCCATTAATGGTGGCAGTTTTCTGCACATTCCAAACACGTAGAAGAGGGTTAGGATAAAAACATTTTCACCATTGTGCTTTCAAAACTCTGGCGATGTTACCAGGGGACAGGGTGGGTTGCGGCACCCAGCAGATCACACGCACCTTCATTTCATTCTGAAGAACCAACTCAGTCAGATTTCCGTCTCTGTCATCGCTCCAGGAAGGACTGGAATTCCTCTGCACAAACAACAAATGCAGAGAACCATGTATGGGTTTCCTTATTCACAAGGAAACGGACACACAGAGGATGCTTCCTTCTAAATTTGTTTGTGAACTCCTTTCTAGTTAGAAAGCATTAACAGAGAGACACTGCTGTGCAAACGAATCCTGGAGTCTAGCTTCAGTTTCTCCCGGAAAACACACTCCCTTTGGTATGGGGAGCCAAAAAATACTATTGCTTTAAATTAAAAAGCACAAAGGGTGAGAGCTGTACTGTGAGGGTTGAGAGCCACACACACTTTCTTGTGGGAGACACTGCATAGGCAACCTGCTCCTTTATGGTCTGCTAGATTGCTTTTTGTGAGGAAGAGTCTGGCAGGGAAATTGCTTTGCTTTGTCTTGGTGCTCTCTACCCTTAAGCAAAGCAAATATTTCAAGGGATTTCTTGGCACCAAAACTGTCTGACTCCACAAAAGACGGCAAGTAGGCACTTGCTAATCGTCACACAACAGTTTATACTTTGGGGTTACTAATTTAACGCCAGAAAAAGGAGAAACAACAGAAAAGCAATTAGCTTCCTAATCATTTTGAAATTACCCAGAGAACAATGCAATTTCCTTCTAGTTACAACGAAGCTGGAAAGGAAAACAGACAAGAGGAAACCCGGCGACTACTGCTCCTTAGAGCAGCAGTGCTTCTCCAGCTGGGGGGGATCGCACATACCAGCTCAAAGCTCAGCAGCATCGTTTTTAATCTGTCGATTTCTTCGCGCAGTTCTCTGATCAGTTTTACATTCGCGTCCTGAAACATTGACACACAGATATGGGAGAAATCCAAAAGCCAGGAGTGCCCCCTGCCCCTCCTTTTCTTTTTCCTTTTTTTTTGGCAGGCAACAGTGAACAGGACCAGGCAAAGCTGCAGCCGGTCCCTAGGAGAGGCTGCTGAGGGGCAGGGGGCTCCTGGGGGGCTTCTGTTCATGCGATTTTCATGTTCTCTCTTCGCCAAGCACACATCAAACAGCACTTGTTCCCATCATCACAACAGCTGAGCACATCACTGCTTTTATGAATTTAACCTCAAAATCATCCCAACGAGACACAAGTTCCGATCCTGCTTGGAGAGGCTGAGAAGTTGTGTTTAACAAAGGGATGTGCCTGAAAACTCTGCTTACTTGCGTATGGCCTGTATTACTTGTATATGGTCAGAATTGAGAATTGCTGCTGCCAAAACCAAACACTCTATTGTCACCACTAGTAATGTCTGAAAAATACTCTTACAGGTGGTGGTGATACTGCTGCAAATGCAGTTTGGGAAACTCTAGATTAGAAGGGTTCCTTTCTACCTAAGATTTAATACAATAGCTGTGGGAAAACAAATAAAGGAATTAGATCCCTAAAATTTTATCCTTTTATCTAAGGATAAAATTTTGTTGCAAACTTTATTTACGAAGATCTAGAAGCTATTGGAATACTGTAAAATACTTTGATAACTATAAATTAGATTTAGTCCATCATGAAAAGCACAGGGTCCAAAGAATGAAATGCACTTTTAAAATAGAGAATAGGTAGCTTGGAGCTAAATTCAGGGAGCTATATGAACAGAACTTACTCACAGAGATCATTTCACCGAGCTTCATGGTGTATGGAAAAAGTAAAGGAGAAGGCTTTTAGAAAACCCAGGTCCCAAAGAATTTTATTGTATTATTGTATTAAATAAGCCAAGTTGCCTGAGTCAAGGGAGAGGGATTTGGTATGAATATTCCAATTCTACTGTTGAACCAAAAGCTATAAATCTGATCTAACACAATGATATCTTTTGCTTTTCTATACTAGAAGGGAACTAGCAAAGGTGTGAAGTCAAGTGTTTATTCAAATGTTGAATAAAGAACTTTTGTGAAATCTTAAGTCGGTCTCCTTAAAAGAACATAGTGTGATAGAGTCCTTAATTTACACGATCACGGCAAGATTGCAGTCTCCTGCAAATGCTCCATTGAAGAGCAGCAGCTCAAGAGTTTTATACTTCAAGTATGTGTAATCCCAGCTTCTGATTACTGTGCTATTTGAACGCTTCTGTGAAGAGAGAATAACACATTTTCCCTTGGAAAATTTTTTAGTTCTCATCAGGAAGCAGCAAGAATAGTTTTAGTTCTCATCAGTGCATTATCTAAGAACTACACAACCGCTAGCACACCATTTTGACAGTGAATCTTCAATTGGGAATGTTCATACTTTTCCTGTTCCATGAAAGTGCAAAGAACAGAGACTGGGAACACGCACATATTAAAAGTGCCATTTCATGTGAACTGGTACTGCACGGTAGGGCAGAGATGGCATCCACAACAACAATCCACAAGCAACCTTAATCCTGGCACATTAACTTTTTAATTCTTGACTTTGCAGTTTTAACAGTATTCTTTTAACATGCCTAAAGGAAGGACTGTGTGTTTATAGTAACAGGTTAAATAGTAACAAATGATCCTAGCAGATCATAACAATTTGAAGGGAAGAAGCATAGAAACTGAAAGGACAGAGAACATCTAAGGGGTGTGAAATTTAAATGATTTAAGATGTGGTGAATTTAAGAAATGATTTCTGTAATATCTATGGTCCTATTGAGCTTTGATCAACATGAGAAAAAGTGGCATGATTTTTATTCAGAGTGCACATATACTGTATAAACAATACACACATACTGTTAAAGAACATTCACAAAAAATTGCACAAAAAAGAAAAGCAGAGCTCAAAAATCTCACCTCATTCACTCTAGGCTTATTAATTATATTTTTGGCATTAGATGCATATCTTAAGGTACTCATGGTCTCATTATAGCTGGAGCTGGCAAAAAAAGCAATCTTTTTTAAAACTTAGATTTTCAAAAAGGTGGTTTTTTTAAGTTGGTCATCTTTAAAAACAAAACTAAAAATATCCTTAGGAATATTTCATCAAACTCACAGACTGGTTTCTCCAGATCCTATTTACAAGAGAATAAATCACATTAAATCAAAGCTGCAACCTTGGAAAGACTCATTTCTTATGCTTAATTTCATGCAGGATCAGCACACCTTTTCCTTTCAATATGATTACTCCTTGCATATCCTATGAAGGATTTGGAATCTGACCACATAAAAACGTTCATAAGTGGCATAGCTGACTTTGCACATCAGCAAAGACGTATTTTGCAGGGCTAGCCCCCACCAAAAATTAACAACAGACAGAAACCAAACTCACTGGCAATCATAATGGTCTTGGAGTTGCCTCCTAGACTGTCCTTGAGCAGCCAGGTGAGGATGGAGTCCCGGTAGGGGATGTAGGCCGGTCGCCGGCCCCCACTGAGGCTGCCTGCGGAGGGGCTGCCTGCATGGGTGATCTCCCCCTCGCTCGTTAGGGTGTTGATGCTCTGGCAGCTGCTGAACATCTGGGAATTTTGTGCTGAAAGACAAATACGATAAAGCTCATGAAAAAAGGACATATTTTTCCCATAGCTATTCAATTTTCTTAAGTGTTAGTATAGTTTATGAGGGAGCTATACAACTGTTCTGCTCAGCTTCCTATTATAAACACAGACAAAGATTAAAACATAGCACACAAGGAGTGAGTCCTATAGCTTCATTAATGTCCTTCAACATAAAGAATTAGTATGCTTACCTAAGGTGGAGATGACAATTCCAAGTGTTACGAGTGACTTGTTAATATTGGCACCTTCTGTAATTCGATCTTTACAGTAACTGGGATCAGCTCTTTCACTGAAGCGCACAAGCATGGAAAAAATAGAATAACGTTTAATAATAGTCAGTGTGAAAGCATCATACTTGTGTTTTTGACATACAAGAAAAGAGAAATGACAAGTTCTACAGTTAAAAAATATATATACTTTGAAGACTTTAATGGAAACATTGCTCTCAATTCAAAAAGTCCAAGCTACCATCAAAGGCCATTGGCACAAAATATTGTTAGAGACCTATCAAAGCATACCTTCAAGCCTGAACTGGACAACCTCATCAAAGTGGCTCTAAGAGAACAAGTTATATTACAAAACTCTGTAAGCACAGACCGGCTCCATGAAAAAACAAACAAACAAAAAATATACATATATTTCCTCAAAACTATTTTCTGTGCTCACCTATTTTACCTTATTGGGAAAGAAAAATGTCACATTCTACGCGTGCTCTACAACTCCTAAGC